ATTTAAAATTAATATTGTTTAAAAAGTTTAGAGAATACCCGTCCAGGGTGTCCCCCGCCCCTCGCACAGTGATTGCTGGACATGGGCACCAGCGACCCCCGTGACCCAAAATGGAATAAGCGGGTAAAGATGATGGATGGAAGTTTAGAGAATTGTTAGGAACGTCGGAACTATTGTATTCCTACTTCACGGTTTTTCACTTATCACGAGGGGGCAGGGTATGGAACCCCCGAGATAAACGAGGGACTACTGTGCATGCAATGCATTACTTCAATTTTACAAATGTTATAAAATGGGTCCAAAATGGAAAGAACAGTGACAACAAAAATAAAAGTGTTGTGGAAAACGTTACATTACAAAAGTCAGTTACATTTTCAGTTTACAGTCACTACTTTGAGGTTTTAATCTACTTTGAATAATAAAAGTTAATAAAGTTGTTTGTGTTTGCTGACCTTAACGTGCCCCCCTTGTAACTCCAGCAACTGTCCTCGGTACCAGAGCATGTCGGGTCCAATTACAGCGCAGCCCTGGACCAACTTCCAGGTGTACGGCTTCTGCCTGGGCAACGTCTTCATGCTTTGGTGAATCCTCTCCTTGAGCTGTTGCAGATGATACTCTGACAAACACACAGGAATGTGTTCTTATTTTTCTCTTCTAGTTAAATACACACAAATATCTGAATATGATCTAAAACTACAAACAGAACGTCAAGCTCGTCCAAGTCAGAGGATTAGCCAAGGTGTTTGTACTGGGCTGGCACTTGTGTAATTATAAAAGCAGACTGAATTATTCACACCAACATTTTTCTTTCTCTAAATTGAAAAACTAAAATATCTAATAAGAACGACAATGCACTGAACAAACTACTTATCACCTATAAATGATGAAACAGCTGGGCACCTCTGTCCAGCAGGAGCACAAGCTTAGATGACAATCTTAGATGGATGACCTGCTTTGATCCTAGTTGGACATCCGTCACCGAAGTGTTTGCTACTTTTATGCAGTAACATTTTCACTTCATCGTGCTGTTTAAACCTTCCTTAACGGGTGAAAAAGATGAATGTGAAGCCACCATCAGCAGGGCCGCCTTTACAGCCTCTTTAGGTCTGCGCTAATCTCCGAGCTGAAAACATGGTTTAAAGAGGTCAAGGACAAACTGGATGTAATCCAGGAGACTGTAACCAGCCACGGTCAGAGTCTGACTTCGTTAGAGGAAAAGCAGAGTGTCTTCGTCAGCGTTTGGAGGTAGAGAGCAGTCACGGGAGGCTACATGCTGAAAAAGAGAAACTTAAGGCTAGGCTAACAGAGTTGGAGGGGAGAAGAAGGAGGAGCAACGTCCGACTAGTTGCTATACCTGAAGGCCCACGACCCACTCTCCTGTTTTCTCAACTACTGCAGGACAAGTTTGGTCAGGACATTTTTTCCTCAGCACCGGAGTTGGACCGCGCACATCACAGTGTTGCACCTAAGCCGGCCCCGGTCCGTCATACTCTGCTGTCATCATTATCAAAGCAAGGAGCTCGTTGTTGAGGCCAGGGAGAGGGGGGATCTAAAATACCAAACCATCTCATTCAGGATCTAAGAAGATTCCCTCACTAGCTGCGTTCACATGGACATAAGTAACCGGATCAAACGGCCGTTCGGAACAAAAACGCGTCATGTAAACGCCCTGTTCGGGTGATTTTTTGTTTATTCAGCGTGAACCAAAATAATTTGTGATCAGAACGGGTGGTTTACGCCGATTCATAACCCTAACAGTGTGCATGTGAACACTTGATCTGTTCGTTTTTATCTGATGGTGAAAAACTGATCTGCCTGCGCATGTGCGGTTTATGTCATTTCCGCCTGGCTAATGCTAATAATGTTAGCATGTCGGGGAAGTAAAACCTGTCGGTGAGCGACAACATTTCTACTAGAAACTCTGAAAGAGCTCAAAATGCTGTGTATCACCTGCAGCTCAGTCAGGGAGTGCAGCAACGTCTCCACCGTCATTAAAACCTGTCCAGGGTCCATTCTGGTGCTCAGGTTGTTTACGTTCATCCTGGAAGTAAACCGGAAGTAGAACTTCTTCTTCTGTGTTTTTTTAAGGAGAGTTTACCGCTCTGCACATGTCAGTACTGCTGTTCAGAACAAAGCCCGCTGCAGGTAAACACTCCTCATGAACAGATTGAGCCCATGTAAACAATACATTTGAATTATTTAATCTGAAAATATTTCAATCCGGTCAAATAATATTGTGCATGTAAACATAGCTACTGAAGTGATGAGCAAACAGAAGGAATGTAGGTCTGTAATGTCCTCTTTACATAAGATGGGACTGAAACCCTTCAGTTGTATCCAGCAAGACTCAACATCACAGACTGACGGGACGCAAACTACATTTGGCTCAGTGGCAGAGGCCAAGATAATTATTAAGGACCTTAGAAAAACTTCTTGATTAGTGTATGGCGGCTGTGGTTAGAGCAGTCGTCCTACAATGTGAAAGTTGGGGGTTTGAATCCACCAGCAGTCACATGTCAAAGTGTCCCTGGGCAAGACACTGAACCCCTCATCGTCTCTGATGTGTGTCCCATCAGTGTATGAATGTGATAAATCACTGATTAGTCTCTTTAGAATGATTTGTTCAATTATATTTGTAGAGATCTAGTATAGAGCTGTATGAATGGGTAAATGAGGCACAGGTTGTTGTAAAAAGATCTGAGTATCTTGAAATAAGATAGAAAGGCGTTAGATAAGTACAGTCCATTTATACCTATATGAGTAAGAACCAGACCCAAATGATGCAACGTTAGTAATATTATTTATTGAAGTTCTGGGATTCCCATGATTAAGTGTATCAACATCATGAGTGATATTTGGACAAAAAAATGTCCGGCTTGTCTGGGCCTGACCTGTTCTGATTTTAAGCGGGGAATTTGTCAATTTTTCTAAGGAGCAGGTGGAGATGTTTTAAGGTTTAAGGTTTCTTTATTGCCGCATGTGGTACATGTGGTGGAACGAAATTGTGTACACAAGGTTCCAGTTACATCCAACAAAAGTATAAATTATATATTAAAAAAACTAATAAGATCTAAGATATGAACTAAGAAAAACAGTAAACTAAGAATATACTAAGCCAGGGGTGGGCAAACTTTTGGACTCGCGGGCCACATTGAGCTCTAAAATTGGAGCGAAGGGCCGGACCATAATACACACCAGTGTCTGTAGTGCGCCTCTACTGGGGAAATGCTGGAACTACAGGTAAATGACACCAGTTTGTTTCCCCCATTAATTTCAGTTTTTTAAATATAATTTGAACCAGTGGCGATTTTAACCTCTTTTTGGGGGGTGCTTCAGCACCCCTAAATTTCACCTCGGCACCCCTGAAAAATAAAGGAAAATATATATAATTTTTTTAATTGTCCAAATTTTGGACAATTTCCGCGGGCCTATTAAAATGCCCAACGGGCCGTATTTGGCCCACAGGCCAGGGTTTGCCCATGCCTGTACTAAGCACTCATAGTCCAAAAAAAATACACCGAACAGCAGCAGCACGAACATGATTGTGTGAGCAGATGAATACGAATGAACACAGCAACGTGAAATAAATCAGCAGCATGAGATCAGCAGCATGGATAGTCAGCAGCACATATCAACAATCAAGTGGCATTACAGTGATTTATTTTCACAGTGATTATTCTAGTTAGAGATTCATGAGTCTAACCGCCTCAGGGTAGAAGCTGTTCCTCAGTCTAGTGGTTCTACACTTAATGTTCCTCAACCTCCTTCCTGAGGGGAGCGGAACAATAAATGTGTGTGCTGGGTGAGTAGGGTCCTTCATGATGCAGGTTAGGGATGTGCAATATTATCGGCATGGTATCAGCATGGGTTGATATTAACGTTAAATTTCAATATCGGACATTCCATTAAAATAATTCAGATATAAAAGGCACTGGTTTTGCCTGCAGTGGCAGCACAACGCGATGACGTCACGTGCACCTACCTGATCTGATCACAGCAGAGAGGAAAATTCAAAATGTCGGCGGTGTGGAAGGTTTTTCGTTGAGGATATTGGATTTCAAAGATTTATGGACTACGTTGAGTCTCGCTACATCGTCTGCAGTCGGAGATATTTGTCAACATAACATTACCAGAGTTACAAGCCGTCGTTTCCAACATCATTGAGAAGATAACAGCTGATAGCACGACTTGTTGGGTGAGAGTCACAGCACACATTTGGACGTCGTGTTAGCCCGTTAGCATGATGAGTCTTACGGAACAATGGATAAAAACTCTGATCTTAAAAAGTCTGTCCTTCATGCACAGGAGTGCAGAGGATCCACACTGCAGCTATAGGAACCTGGAACAAGCCTCCACAGGTGAGACAGCATCGCAGGTGACTACTGCTAATAAATAACATTCAACACTTTTTATTTAATAGAAGTTAAAGTGCTCTGCATATCATATGGCCGTTACTGAATACATGTCACCAGCTTTTACAGCTGTTGCACAATGTTTGTAGCAAATAATCCTAAATAAGATGCTTTGTTCTGACCAAGGAACGTATATAAAATATTGGCATCGATTATCGTCCAAATAAGTTTTAACATATCGGATATTGTCCAAAAATCCAATATCGTGCGTCCCTAGTTGTCATCACTCCTTGTTAAAATCAGGTCTCTCTTGTAAATGAGTCCCAGAGGCTCAGCGGGACTAACCTGCAGAAATAAAGGTTGAATGGATGAAAACCTGCAACCTTCTCGCTGAGAGACGACAGCGCTAACCACTGCTCAGCTGTGCAGCGCGGGGTTTTCATGTGTGAGTAAAAAGAACGGGGAACTAAGGAGAACCTGCTCTTTTCCCACACTTATCCACACCTGACAAACAGGACAAGTAACGCCCACGCTTTTAGGGATGGTGTAGGGTTACAAAGGAAATGATGCGACTACAATTTAGGTTAAAGAGAAATAAGAAGATGTACTACTGGTATTCTTGACTTTGTGTGTTTGTGTGTGTGGCTCTCACACTCTGGCACTTTTCTCGCGGTTGGTGCCGTGGTACAGATACACCGTTAGCTTTCCTCTCTTTACATGTCTGTCGATCTCATTCTTCCAGTGGTGAATCAGGGAGGCCGGACAGATGATCAGAGTGCTCTTAGAGGCAACTATGTCAGAATCTGAAAGATAAACAATAAAAAATAAGCACTGCGTAATGATGTAAAAGTTACGTGGCTGCTTGGCTGTAATTATTCTAATAAAAAGTGATAAAACTTCTGGTTACCAGATTTAGTCAGCCAGGTCTCCAGATTCTCCTTTTCTTCTGCTCTCATCTTCTTTGCCAGTATGAGAGCAATCATAGTGAGGGTTTTTCCCAAACCCATATCATCCGCTGAACTCAACAAGGAATAAAAAGTGCAACATTAGAATAAGGACTTAGAATTAAATTCCTAATAATAAAGAATGAAGGCGCTGCGCTTCAATGATACACAACAAAAAGCCTGAGAGAAAGTGACATGATGGGTAGTTTGTTTTGACTTTTGTTATTTATCGTTTTCTGTCTAAGCTTACTTTTCATTTCAACTTACTTTTTGTACTTGATCATTTTGGAAAAATAAATTAATTAGATGAAGATGGAAACAAATCTTGTGGAAGGTTTTTTATATGTAAAAAAGGACTTCAGTGATTTACTGACAAATAAATTGTTTAAAATATAGACGTAGGCAATTCATATAACTGAGTAAAATAAAATGAAATAATATATACCAGCACATTTAAATAAAAATTACATCCATCCAGTATCTTGACCCGCTTCTTCCTTTCTGGGATCAAGGGGTCACTATTATGGGTGGGCGACATGGCTCACATATAATATTGTGATATTTAGGAGTATTCTGATAACGATACATTTTGTGATATAAAAAACAAACAAACAGAAATCATAGTTACTTATTTGACAAAACTTGACATGTTGCTTTGCAGTATTATATAAAAACTAAAAAAAGTTCAGTTCGGTAGTTCAGTTCAGTGCGCTCGGTTCTGTTAACGGGGCAGGCACCCCGCTTGTATAATAGTAGGGGAAACACTGACGTACTTACGTCATGAAATTAGCACATCATGATATAATTTAAGCTTTTTCTTTTACTGGTACTGTCGTGAACGATATGATATGGCCCAGCCCTGTGCCACTATAATCAGAATCAAAAGATCAAATAAATGTTACCTAGAATTCCTCCACAGGGATTCTGTGCTTCCCTCCAGAGCAGCCAAGCCAAAGCTCTCCTCTGATGGGGCAGAAGTGACACCTGAGCAGACAAAAACAAAAAGTGTTATTGAAAAGCACAATAGCTCAAAAAAGGAGAATAATGTAAACATTAAAGAAATAACTTACAAAAGCAGCATCTTTGGACAATATACAAATACAACAGGAAGGTTACTGAGGTCAAACAGGTTATCTGTCTATTTTAGAGTTATAACACACATACACCCCCCGGAGAAAACTCCACCAGCTGCCACTAGTTACAACATGAACACCCGCGGCTTATATACACAGGTGCTGCTCAAAAACTTAGAATATCATGAAAAAGTTGATTTATTTCACTAATTCCATTCAAAGAATGAAACTTGTACATTACATTACATTACATTCATTACACACAGACTGATGTATTTCAAATGTTTATTTTAATGTTGATGATTATAACTGACAACTAATGAAAACCACAAATTTAGTATCTCAGAACATTAAAATATTAAGACCAAAAAAAAAAAAAAAGATATTTAGAAATGTTGGTCAACAAAAGAGTACGAACATGAAAAGTACGAACATGAAAAGTACGAACATGAAAAGTACGAGCATGAAAAGTACGAGCATGAAAAGTACGAACATGAAAAGTACGAACATGAAAAGTACGAACATGAAAAGTACGAACATGAAAAGAACGAACATGAAAAATACGAACATGAAAAGTACGAACATGAAAAGTACGAACATGAAAAGTAGGAGCATGAAAAGTAGGAACATGAAAAGTAGGAACATGAAAAGTAGGAACACGAAAAGTAGGAACACGAAAAGTACGAGCATGAAAAGTACGAGCATGAAAAGTACGAGCATGAAAAGTACGAGCATGAAAAGTACGAGCATGAAAAGTACGAACACGAAAAGTACGAACACGAAAAGTACGAACACGA